ATGCTTTTAGACTATACCCTGAGTGCCAAGGCCAATCATGTGTACCTTACCCTGGCCCCAGGATCCCGAGCCCGGATGGATCTGGCTGCAGCAAAAGCAGCTGTACCTCCTCCAATTAGCAGGAAAGGAACATGACTTGGTACCCTGACTTGAGGAACTGGCTCTCCTTCTGAAACTGGAAGCAATAGATCAGACAGGGTGAATCTTCTTAAAGTCTCAGATGACTCCTTGTCACTAGTACTTAAGAAAAAAGAAATCACCCTGTACTTGTCTCAGTCCTTTACAGAAAGCTAGCTATAATCATCTTAACAAACATCATAGCATCCTGATGGGAGGAAAAGCAAGTACCCCTTTCACTTCACAAGTGAGAAATACCAAAAATGAGGCAAATGATTTGGCCAATGTCATTTGGACACCCATGGGGCAGTTCTACTCTGGCCTGTAGGGTTACTATGACTTGGAATCGACTCAATGGGTGTGGGTTTGGTTTTGGTAACTCAACTGGAAGTATGCATCCTGCTTAAAAAATGAGACACGACATTGGGGTGACAGAGGTGGGAAGATCTACAAAATCAAGACCAGTATCAAAGGGACTGCAAATGGGGAAAAGATTGGAATTCAAAGAGCATGCATGATATTAGAATCAAGAGATCTAAGGAGTCCTTTACAAGAAAAAGGTAGCATTACTGGAACTGAAACCTAGCTTACATGTTCAGTTATTTCTAAAACATATTTGAAAGTACAGGCTACTGCTTCTGCCTTTCTCATTCATTTCCTAATGACCAACAGGCAAATACCAAGTTCAGTTTCATTTTTTGTTAGCAATAAAGAAAGGAGACCCAGTAGGTCAACTGGGGATTATCATACAATATGCAAAGAATAAGGTGTTATTGTGGAAAAGGCAGATCGCCCACCAGAGTTGTTTGGCTCATTAAAGGATTAAAGCATTCTTCTTTGAAAAAAATCAAGCCCATCTTTTGGGCTGGAAGTGACAACTACGGCTATATGCTTTGGGAAAACAAA